GTTTAATGGATAAGGATTTTCAAGCTGTAAGATGTGCGTAAGGAGTATATACTGCAGTTAGTGTTGGTATTAAATATCGAGTGATGTACAACGGAAATGGTCTAAAGGATATATAGTGAAGAAAGAGTCGACATAGCGGCTGACGGAATGATTCCTTAAAAGATTGTCTTTAGAAAAAGTATAAATATAAAACGTAAATTTTAAACATAAACGAGGTACGCTTGTTTCCAGATCCCCAAACAGGCAGAACATCTGCATAAGTTACATAAGGGAACATTAAGCCAAAGTAAATAAAAAAAAACTTCCAAAATCAAAATCGAAAGTGAAACGACATTGAAATAACTTTTTAGAGTTGATGCGGAATGTCAATTAAGCCATGAAACAAATTAATCGAAGGTTTTCATTTGGACAGTTAACCGCAAGTATTATTGTTTACGCCTGTACGCGTCCATTCAATTAATGGAATCTCAATAATTCTGCGAAACCACTCGAAAATATGCCAACAAGCTTTTAATACCACAGGCAGCAGAAGCTGGTAGATAACTAATTAACACCTAATTGCATTTACGGTTTTGTCGGTGGTTTTATAGTAAAGTGTATTTTTAAACTGTTTATTACGCTTCCACAATCACCTGGGATTAAAAATAGTAGCGATTCGGTTATGTAATAAGCAATTTTATACATAATCTTTTATTTTTAACTATTTCAATAAAATAATAAATGTAAAATATAAGTTAATTTAGAACTTGGATAGATTATTTTTAAACAAATTATACATATATTCATTTTAAATTGAAGGTTAAGAGTAGTGTTATGCAATAAGAAGAGTAGTTCTTGTACTCGTGTACCGTAGGCTGGGAGTATTCGTATCGCGTAGTGTGTCACCGATTCCCAGTCTTTATTGTGTAGTCAATACAGTCGTACTTCTTATACTACATAGTACAGCGTGTTTCATAAAGGACTGTACAGCTTCATAACAGCAAACTTTTACAAAGATTGGTGGTTTACATACAATGAAATTTCATTTAAAGGCATGATTTTCGGAACATTTTTGTTTTCCCCAAAGTTATACAGGTCAAAGTGGCTATAATGGATGATGTTAAACAAGTCTCAAAAAAGGTTTCTTGATCAAGAAACAACAGGTGATTTTATATAGCTCGTCCCTAAGATACATGGACCATATAGAATTCAACGTTAGGCCCTTTAAAGTTGATTTGGTCTGTCAAGAAACTATGGCCCTTACAAACGATTATAGCCCAATTGCTTATACCGCCTCTCACTAAATGAATATTGATTAAAGAACCATAGCGTGTCATCAGTTAAAAGAAATATTGGACTATGATAGTTACATGATGAAAATCTCGAAGTTCTATAGTACCAAAACCCTTTTTGAAAGTTATGTAGTCACTCTTCTACATTAAGCTGTCAAACTTGTAAAGAAAATTTTCAAACATTTTATGTATATAGAACACATTTGAAGTAACTCTCACTCCGAACCAAATAATTATTCTCTTTGGAAGAAACCTAAGAAACAAAATCAAAAGGATTTTAGTATATTTTGGTACCAAATCAGGCCTGTAAGTTACTTCATAAGCTGACTAAGACGTGAAATACTCTGAAACACGTTGTATATAGGAAATTAAATTAAGTTTAATTTAACTTTGTCAATTTACTAAAGAATCATTATCTTTAAAAGATACCTCACAAAACAAAGCTAAATCATTCTTGTATATTTTGATACCAAAACCAATAAACTTTTATTCAGCAGATAGATCTGAGCTGACAGCTGACAGATGTTTTGAATGAATTTTATTTAATTTGGTTACTAAGAGGATAGATAAACAAAGAGACATTCTTTTAGGCTTTTCCAACAAAAGTGGTTAATTTTTTATTGATTTGGACACATGTTCGCACGTTTTTCTGAGAGTGGATGCTTTGAGAAAATCTTTACAACATCCATACACCGGACCTCATCCAGTGATCAAGAAAGACAGTAAAACTATCACAATACTTCTAATAGTTCTAACGTTAAAGTTAGTATAGAGAGAGTTAAACCGGCCTATGTCCTTCAGAATTATGAAGTTAAGTTAAGCCCTCAACTGTATCTCAAACTTCAAAAGATGTGGATTTTTAAAAGTCGTATACGTCAAAGTCCGGAAGAAAAGTGTGATTCAAGAATCTAATTTCAGTTTGATAAAAATTGTGCTATCCTTGCTGTTATTTTTTTTATTTTACTTTTTTTTGTTTCTTTGTGACTTTTCGGAACCCTCCTGAAACTCCATGGACTTCCAGTCTTCGCAGGGGGCTCCTGAAGTGAGCTGAAAGATCTATCAGCTGACAGATGTTTTTAATGAATTTGATTTAATTTTGTTACTAAGAGGATAAATAAACAAAGAGACATTCTTTTAGGCTTTTCCAACAAAAGTGGTTCATTTTTATTGCTCTAAACAATTAATTGTAATTACTTTTAAAAGTATGTTAAATTAAACAATCATATTTAGTGGAAACCTCTAGACTTTTATTTAAGGCATTTCTCCTATTTAAATGAGGTTCTTTTCACTAAAAACTAAATTGTTAATTCACTAAGTGCCAAAGACAATTTTTACAACACTTTGCATACAGCAAATTAAATTATGTTATACTAAACATTAACACTTAATCCAAAAATAATCCTGATTAGAACATAAAAAAAAGAATACGAAAGATGAAAGCTGCGTGTGTGTATGTGTGTGTTGTGTGAAGAGGGGGGGGGGGATGGAGCCTTGTCACTACATATAAGTGTCAAAGGGTCTACCGCAAATAGCGTCTACTACGTCCTCACATCAGTCACTTTCCAATAAACCACGTTTGTGATATTTTTGTTTACCTAATACCTTTCATTTTCGTCGTCACTAACTTTAGCTTGTTGCGTGTATAACCATGTGTTAGGGTTTAGTTAGGGCAATTGAATGGGCCTACACTTCAAAATCCCACTACTTATAATCTGTATTAGGTAAACTTCTCAAAATAACTCCATAAGTTGATGTATATTCTATAAACATAATAATCATCTTGTTGAAACGCCATAAACGTAGCAGTCGAGAAACTGTACAGTGTACAATAACACTATGTACTTGTATGTACACATAACTGTCACCTAGCTAACTTTGTTTAGAAAACACTTTGAAACGATGCAAAATGTCTATAAAATAAAGCTATAAATAAATAATATATTATTATGTATTCAGTCAACTGTTAAATTCATTCAAGTACATAAATTAATATAATTTTAATATCACCTATGATATTTTTATATCAATTCAAATGCTACAATACATATATTAATATACCTGATTGTTTAGAAAATTTTATCTTGTCTTATTACTTTAGAATTTAGTGTTTTGTTTAATTATTTTAACATATTTAAACTTGTATTACAAGCAAATACGACTTACAGTATTCCCCATTGAATGTTTACGAACTATTGTACATATATTTTTATACTTTCTTATTTTATGCAAGTTAATCATTGTTAGCTAACTTAAAATTTTAAGAGACGTCAGTAACGCTTGCCAATATGATAGGTTGTTAAGATTAGAAGACTACAGCATATCGTGATTTACCTTCAGCTTAGTAATCCAATCAGGTAAAATGATCATAATGGAGTGTATTTTTCCTTAGTCACCAAAGTAAGTAAAAATTTTCGTTAGAAATTACACAAATTAGTTCAACCTTAAGAGGTGCAAAGTATTATTAAAAATATAAAATAATAAAATTCATAAATTTGAGTTTTTTTTATTTATTTTACGCAAAACTAAACTCATTAGATAAATAATTAAATCCATTCTAACTTTATGGTGGGGTGATTAATATTTGTATGCATGTGATAAAAAATAAACATGTGCAATCAAAATACACTGATAGAGAGTGTACAAATTATAAAATTACATAGGTTGACAAAAACTTGCCTAAGAAAATTTCGTGTCCACCAGCAGCGGTATTTTAATCGCAAAACCATATGTTGCACGCACATTTAACTAAAAACATATAATATAAATTTTTGATATAAAGCTGCAGGTGTTGGTGAAATATTAAATTTTGAGTATCATTCGCCGGCGATTAAAATCTAGAATTCTAATTTTGCCAAGGATACACTAAGTAATTATTTAGTTAAGAAAACCTCATGTGGTGGATTTTTTAACACGGGTAGCTCAATTAAATCTTAGCTTAAGGCTCCGTTCTAACTTGTGCATGAGTGGTCACGCCAATTAAGGCTCATTATACGGTTTTACTTTTTTACACTTTAAAAGCCAGTCCGAGTTTCTCAGCACAAGATATGCACTCTAACAATTATGGTATTGCTAATTAATTTTACCATAAATCCCTCCCTACCAGAAAATATGCATAAAGCCTAGTCTAATGACGATAATAAATTACTGTATATGGTATCATTGATAAATTGTTTAAAGGATTGTTCCGTTTATTTTCCATCACTGAAAATTGAACAAATAGTTTAAAGTTTCAAGGTGTGAATTTTAACCCAACATTCAGGTGAGAAGGGACCTATGAAAATGCCTAAACATTTTTCTTTCCGCTATCGTGTTTCCCAGCGCTGTTGGTTAGTGTTCTAATTGTCAAGGTTCTACCCACTAGATTACGAATTTAGAATGCAATCCCCGAAACGCCTAAAGATCCTGTTTGACTAATCAGTGATAAACAATGTCCGAAATCGTTTTTAGACAAAATTATCTCACCATCGCCAGCAATGGGCTTTGAACAAAGAATCGTTGTTTTGATCAAAACCTCAGAAACTTGTTATCCCCTCGACTAGCGTTCACGTATGTAGCATAACTATGTATATTTTTCTTGATGAGCTTGATATGCTTATCTGGTGATAGAGCGGAACCTTAAGTTTTTTTAAAGCAAAGTGCAAGAAGTAAAAATACAAAGGGTGCAAAAGCGTAGACTATCAACAAGCATAAGTGGATGAGAAGCTAAACGAAGGGCAAAGGAAAGCTCACCTCCCTATCATGTCCCTGCAATCAGAGAAAAGCCAGTAAGTGGAGATCAAGACACTATAGTTGAGTTATTGACACTTGGCATGAGGCTCAAAGTGAACAAAATTCAACTGTAGATACTTGGCAACTTACACACAAAGAAGAAAGAGAAATGTCACCTATAGGCCTATTGGAACTGGATACCAACACACTACGGTTATACAAATGACAAGAAGGGCTCGGGAGTATCACGTAGGCTCAAATTAATCAGGATTTTAATGTAGACACTACTTATCTTTCACATTCAGGATGTAGGTAAATAACTAGTTATTTGGCTGCTAACAGTATGCTTGAAAAATTTAAACAAAAGTGTCAGTACAGTTAACCTCCCTAGATTGAATTTCCTGTATATTCTACGTCCACGTCGTAACGTCGAATAATCGGAAATTACCTAAGCCCATCCGATTCAAGCCGTTAACACTGTAGAGAAATGTTTGCGGTTAGAAAGTATTTATTGTAAAGTTTAAAGAGTACGATCTAGCCCTTTAATCCAAGATAGCCCAACTTGACCTGGGTTGAAGAGTCATTTACCTGCATTCAACATGCAGGCAATCTTAAGTCAAGCTATTGTACGATGAATAAATTTAAATGACTTCAGCCTATAACTTTCAAAATATGATTAACGGTACCCAAAAACTGAGGACGAGCCGTAGGGACATATTCCAATTACTAGTTTGCGGTTTAAAACATATTTTCTGGTGAAGTTTACGGAGTTTTGGAAGTACCCAACATTCTAGATTCCAATCACCCCTATCCAAGAGAGCCTTGCTTCATCAGCATTGTAGAGTTGTACCACTGATAGCATAGTCTAGTGAATGGCTATATTAACAACGGCTCCACAACGTACAGCATTGAGTCAAAAGATAGATTGATATTATTACCATAGTTGAGGTAATTGTCCGAAAAAAAAATGTGATAGCAGCAACCGGGCGTAACCAGGGAAACTGCATGGTTGCTAAAATAAGTCTGCCAATTCTGTTGACCTTGCGATTTCAACCCTTGCCAGCCACGCAGCGTTATACGCATTTTGTATCTAGAGAGGTCAATACAAATGTTTTGTAGGCATTACTTTACCACTCGATAACGTGTTTACAATATTATACACTTTTATTTGGGACGATGAAGTTCCTAATGTTTTAAAGGAATTACCCACTAACTCAAAGGACTACGATAGTCCAGATAAAAATGTTTGTAAGGCTAATAAATTCGTTTCACCACCGATCAATACTGTACAAGACAATATGAATTCCTCCGTCAAATTGGATACAATAAACGAGGAAAATAGGAAGGAGTAGTGACATTATTTGGAACAATTGCGCTACACCTATGGGAGGGAAAGCCACCCATTACAAAAATAATAACTTAAGATATTTAATCAAATACACCAAGTCTACTACCTATAATGTGAAATAGCCATTTTTACAATTTAAATTGTTACACTTCAGTAATTCAATCAAATTTATTACACAAATTGTAAATTTCAGTTACCTACTAACGTTTGGACCTCCTTTGACCAAGATTACACCCTACAGGCTTCTTGAGTCTAAGAAACATAGGCCCCTAATCGGGTACAAAAACAATTCAGTTTACGGATTATACTTACTAACGTTTTGTTTCAATATATAAACATGTTTAATAATTTTAAGCAATACAAGTTAACCTTGTTGACATAATCAAATACACTTTGCTAAAACACAGGGTAAAAAAATCTTTTGGGGAATTGGTTCCTCAAAAATGTTGAATGGGAAAAACTGATATGTCAGATCCCGGCCCTTCGCTATTGATCGCAGCCGGGATGCGGGCCATCCTAGAAACTTAATACCGGAACTTCCTGGACTCGAACCCCGACACCTTTGAGAGGCTGCATGTAGATTGGCAACTTCACAAATTAGACCTCAATATAAATAATTGCCAAGAGGACGTCACTAATCACTAAGTTAAACAATAGCCTAACAAAATACCCCGCCGCAGCAAACCTGCAGACTAAGCGAATTTCCATTAACCTGATTAGATTTACACTAAAATGCCTCCATAAAAATATCACATTTATTTCCTATTTAAATAGAATTAGTTTAACGAGTACTTAGGTTTGCTGCAACAGGGAGGGTAAAAGTGTTTTTTTTGTAAAATTGTAATAGTTTAGTAAGAAATGGAAGCATTTTCCAAATTCGATCAAATTATGTTCATAAACAAGCAAACTACAACAGTTGACTTATTCTCCATAAGAATAACATAGGAATTTTAATTTTAAATTTTTTTTTGAATTTTCTCTGTACGGTAACCATTAGGCGGAACTTCCTAAAAACGCTTCAATATACTAAATTATTTGTTTTTTTTTAGCTCTGCAAAATAGTTTGGAAAGAAATTGTAAAATGTTGTGTTTTAGGGTCAAAAATGGGGAAAACCTATTTTTACCCCATAAAACCCCATATAAAACCCCGTTCCCATAGTCCGATCATGCTGGTTCGCGAACTCGTTCGAATAAATGTAGGTTTACACGTTTATACAAAATTTCATCAAAATCGGATTATTTTTGCTCGAGTTATCGCGCTAACGGACATATATACTGTATATGAATTTGAACGGATGGTGTTTTTGGCCTCTAGGGACCTCAAAACGAAAAAGTAAATCGGTCCCGGGTCCAGGTCTTACCATGAGTACTACGGTAATAGCTTATTCCCTATATGGGAAATTCGCTAAAAATAATATTTCTTAACATTTCTAACCCGTACTTTGGTAAAATGACGTTGAAAATCGTGTCCTATAGTTCGATACACACAATTTTACGAATCTTAACGTAGACAGGATCGACAATAGCCATACACAACAATAATATAAATGTGAATTTTTACAGTTATTTTACCTTTTAAAAACACTGTAGACAAGAGGCAGGAGTATGAAACATAACAGAAAGGTAGAGCAGATGCGAAGCAACAATATGTGTTAAAGGCACATACGAGGGACCTAATACCACTCGAACGTTAACAAGAAGGACGTAAAGCATGCGATACCGTAAAACTAGGTGGGGCTGAATAGCTTCGACTTTATTTTCTTTTTACGCCGGTTTATAAAATGTACAGCTGCGGAATTCTGACGATTTACCGCCCTGGTTAACAAGTTTTCTTTTACAACGTCCCTTTAAACTGCCAATCTCCAGCATTAACATATAAGTAAGCTTTGGCGTATCGTGTGATTTAAATCTTTAGGATTTCTATATTTCACCACGCAATTAAAACATTCTATTCGACGTCATTCCTGCAGGTTAGCAGTAAATTCAAATTGGAAAAAAGTACACTTAATTAAATGATTATATGAACACCTTAACACGATAAGTATATAAGAAACTCATTAACTGACCAAACTTTCAGAATAAGCCCAAATCTTTGTATTTGATAATATATAAATTTTTTTGACCACTAAGAGTCAATTGGCTATTCATAATTTGAAAGAATGAATACTGTTTCCAATGTTATTCTAAACAAAAAATATATAGTTTCAGATTTTCTTTTCGAAAAATTCTTATTATAATGGCGCAAATTACGTTCTACTTTATGCTACTCAGTTCAGGATTACTTGTTTGATCACAATACCACTTTTTACAACGGTGAAAGACATGTTAGCTTGGCCAGCTTGGCTTAGATTTCAACAGATACCGTCTTCAGCACAATCTTCCAAGTGGCTTCTGAATCACGATCATTATCACAGAGGCTTTGTTGAATTGAAATTTGTGTAGAATTTCAATATTTGATAGGAATAGACCTCTATAGTAGCTCAAACATATCAATAGGTTGATGCGTTGATGGTGATTCAGTACAACATGGGAAGCCATAGAGGAGGGCGGCTGTACACAGTGAGCTTCAGTGTGTCGACATGCCACAATAGCCGAATATCTGGCATATGGCCCCTTCAAATCATCCTACACCTGATATTATATTATGGTTGCACACGTGGTCCGTTGAAACAATTGATTGTAGATAACACTGCAATTATGAAAAGGAGCTTATATTGTACTATAGATTAAACGAAGTAGTTCGCAATGTTGTGCGACTGACCTACCATCCATTTTAAATAGGTCAGTATACTTAATCTGATGATTGGTTAGTAGTATATGGTGTCCTTTCGCATAGCTAGAGCTCTATGCCTTTAGCTTTGGTCTGAGTGAGGAAATGTTTAGTATGCAAATTCGGGGTTTTAACGATCTAAATATAAGCATTTCTACTCTACATTTGATTTTATTTATTATATGTCTGGTTTAATTAGTTTGGTAGCGAGCTGGTCTAGTGGTTAGAGTACGGGACTTCGGTCTCTGAGGCCCTGGGTTCAAATCTCACCAAATCACCAATGGATTTTATCTAAGTAATATTGCCGCAACCTCTGGGTCTAGCCTGAAGTAATGCGAAAAACAATCCCGGGCTCGTGCCTAGGACAAAATAATAGTTGGCATTGTTTGTGTTGGTTTTCACATATTATCTTAATATTTTGTTTCAATTCCAAGAGAATGACAATTTGTCAGTTTTTAGTTTAATTCTTGCACTAAGCAAAGAATTGTAAACCTCAAACACACCAGGAATGAGACTTGCCCATGTTTATAGGCCATACAAGTTGACTTATCTCCTCCTATGGCAAATCTGACACCTGTTAGGTGTGTTTCTTATTCGTCTTCTTTTTATTCGACTAATACTTAGCTGTTCTCCTATTTTAGGTTAAACAATGTAGTGTGCTATTTAATCTTAGATTATAACAATAGAAGACAAGCAAAAGTGTATAAGGAGTCTCACTTGGTTACAATAGTGAACACAAAGTTGGTGATACTTAAGTAATAAAATTAAAATAAAAACACCCTCCATGTAATATTGGACAGAAAATAAAACTCTCTTCAGATGAGATTAACAAACACTTATGACATATTTAAAGAGCATACGTTTTAATCTATAACGGCATTCACGGCATTCTTTGAATGCCGGTACAGATACATTGGA